CAGATGCACAGCTATGTGGTTGACTCTTAACTGTCCTCTGAGCAATTAGGGATGGGTAATAACTGCTGGCCTGGCCAGCAATGTCCTCATCCCTCAAATGAATATCAAAAAATATTGGCTGGATATTCTCATTTTCCGATTAGCTACACTGTTGAGTGAAAACAAAAAGTGCTGGTAATCACAGCGGGTCAGGGAGCATTTGTGGAGAAACAGCAAAATGAACGAGTACTAAGTAGACAGTACCTTTCGGCCACTCCCCCTTCAGGTTTTCCTGTTATGAATGTCAAAGGTGAGGCCACTTTGGAGTTCTTCGATTCTTTAAATACTTTAATATAATTTTAATAATTATCTTCTCAAAAAGAGCTAAAAATGACAATCAGATTTTTGTTCAGAGTTAGAAGTGTAGAATTTGTCCACAGCTTTGAGAAAAGTGAGGTTAACATGTATCATCCTATCAAATATTTTATTCATTGTATTTTCCAGATGCCTGTACCAGCTGAGTCTGAAAAGCAAATACAGCCTGGAAGTGGCCAAACTTTTTATATGCTCAGTTGAATAAAGCTAAAGTGTTTGATTGCAACACACAGCTCTTTAATGATCTTTTCCCCCTTTGGGCACAGAATGTAATTATACCTGATTACCCATAAAAGCTATAACCAGAGATGATGGGTTCCATATTGCAATTTGTGCAAAGGTGGGAATGGGGAAAGATTTGGGGCAGAAACTGTCTCTGTCAAGACTTTGCTTAATTTTGCACTTAAGGGTAACACATGCTTAGCTGCAAGCAGTTTTTATTGAATAATGTTATTTATACCTCCCATGCAGAGAGGTCAGTATAACAAAATGCTCAGCTATTAGATTTATCATGAAGTTATGATTGCATGAACTCAATGACCAGAGCTGTACTGCCTTCCAGGAGTGGGATGGAAGTCCAGAAGAGGGCTGTAAAATGGGATAGTATTCCAGCATTGCGATTCTCAGAATCTGGCTGTCCCTGCTGCAATTTTACCAGGACAAAGGAGATTTCAGACAGCGCTTTCATTGTGGGCCAACTGAAGCCCTTAATAAGCCTATCTATTTCTTTCTTACATATATTCAGTGACTTTACCTTTGCAGCCTTCTGTGGTGGATAATTCTATAGAGTGAAGAAATCTCTCCTCATCTTAGTCTGCAATGGCCTATCATATATTTTGAGAGAGTGATTCTTTGTTCTGGACCCCTCTATCTAGAGGAATCATCATCCCTGCACCCTGTCTCATACAGCCCTGTCAGAATTTTATATGTTTCAATGAGATCCTCTCTCATTCTTCTGAACTTCAGTGAATACAGGCCCAATCAACCCAAACTCTCCTGAATGACAAACCTATCATTGCAGGAATCAGTCTGGTGACAGTCGCCGCACATCCTTTATGGCGAATATACATTTTCTTGAGTAAGGACACCAAAACTGCACACAATATTCCATTTGTGGTCTCACCAAAGCCCTGTACAGCTACACTAATCAGTTCCGAAGAAGGGTCATTGGACACCAAATGTTAACTCTCCCTCCTCTACACAGATGCTACCAGATCTGTGGAGTTTGTCCAGCAATTTCTGTTGTTGTTGCAGTAAGTCTTTCTTTTCCCTGTACTGAAACCCTCTTACAATGAGGCTAACATGCCAATTTTCTTCCTAACCGCTTACTGCAATTGTATGCTTACTTTCAGTGACTGATGTACAAGGACTCCCACATCCCTTTGCATATCAACATTGGCCAATCTATCACCATTCGAATAATACTCGGCCTTTCTGTTTTGACTACCAAAGTGGACAAGTTCATATGTATCCATGTTATACTGCATCAGCCATGTATTTGCCCACCTACCCAACTTACTTAAAACACCCTGACACCATTTGACATCTTCTTCACAACTCACAATCCTACCTATTTGCATGTCATTGGCAAACTTGGAAATATCAGATCCCCTTTTATTCTTCTGAACTCTCTGAATAACAGCCCAGTCAAACCACTGTCTTCTCAAGGACAGTCCTTCCAACCCCAGTATCAGCCTAGTGAATCTCTGCTGCATGCAATCTTTACGGCTCTTTATACCAACAGATCACCTTCTTAATTCCTGAATTGCCCTGAGTTAACTGGGAAATAAGCAGTGGAGTGGGAATCATTAAGTAGTGTCTTTAAAGAGTCGGCACAGGTCTGATCAATTGAATGTTCTCTTTTTGAGTCATGTGTATCAATGATAGAATGATCAGAGCCTCAGGCAAAGTGATAACCAGCCTATGCATGTGGAAGCTTCAGGTGATGTTGGGTTCAAGTTTAATCCAAACCCTTAGAATGGAAATGCCTTCTGACACTCACGGCCAAGGCTCAATAAAAACAAGGTTGATGATTAGTGGGTCTAGGAACACTGTGTTGCAGCTAAGTGGCTTAGAAAGGAAGGGAAGAACATTAGCAGGGGAGTAAAAAAGAATAATTTAGTAAATACTTTCAGTGATAACTTAATTGCTTATGATGTATGAAGCAAAGTAGAACATTAATACTTCAAACTGTAATGACCCTAACAGAAGCTGCATTATATCAATATCATGTTCAGAATCTCAGTTATTCTATGAGTTTATATTGGAGAATGACAAGTATGAAAAGTTGTCAAAAGAAGTGTACTGATTTGTAAGATAAATACCTAACGAAGTAAAATGTAGAAAAATTCATGAGAACAGCTAAAGGTATGTGACTTGGGACTTTGTTGCAAATTTAAACAGGTTTTAGGGAAGTAATTGTCATTCCACTTGTACATTAAGCTGACTTTATTTGTTTAAGTTAGACCAATGTTAGGAATTTACTGCTTGTGTCTAATTTTTTTTATGTCCAGGCTCATTTTCATTGCTATATAGAAAACAGAGTCCCTGAGAAACTTTGGATGATTTGTTTCTATAGATCCCAAATAGTTTGTAAATAGCAACATCGACCTAAATCTCAATCTTTGTCTTTTATGGCACAGATACAGAGTACTGCCTGACAGTACACAGATTTACAAGCCATGGCAGGAGTGAATCAGTCTCAAAGAGATGTGTTTCAAAGCTGGAATGTTATTCAGTTGGCTGCCGTCACATAAGGAAGTTCGGTCATACAGTAAGTGCTGCACAGCTATAATGGGCTGAATAGACTCTATCTGTACTGTAGGATTCTTTGAAGTATATAACCAAAGATTCCCATGTATAAGTTAAAGAAAATGAATTTGTGCCATTGAATAATGGACGTCACGGTTAGATGTGAGAGAATGGTACAGGACAGAGATGAGCATGATGTACCATGGCAGAAGATCTCCTGGTTGGAGGAGAAGAGGCATGACATCCTCCCTTTCAACCTCAATTGGACTTGAGTGCAGTCCTGAAGAGCCTGTGCCACTCCTTTTTCAAAACATGCTCCAAATTCATCAAAGGAGCAAGAAAGTTGACGTTTCAGGTCGGGACCCTTCTTCCTTTCTGAAGAAGGGTCCCGACCTGAAGCGTCAACTTTCCTGCTCCTCTGATGCTGCCTGACCTGCTGTGTTCCTCCAGCTCCACACTGTATTATCTCTGACTCCAGCATCTGCAGTTCTTACTATCTCCAAATTCATCAGCTGCCTTCTCAATATCTAGTGTTGTCAGAAATGAGGCAGAACACAGACTGATTATGAACAGATGCAGTTTATACAAAATGAGCTTGGTTCTGACATTTTTTTTTCTCCGTAGACATTAATTAGGTTAGTTTGTAACTTGGTGTTATCTAGTGATTGGCAGGAAAACTCAACGAGAAGAAAATTGCAAACAGTGATGATCATGGAAATAAAGGGTATGAGGAACTGACGCCTCTTATGCATGAACTGGAAGTCTGTCATTGAAGGTGTAGTGATTGGAACCAAACCAGGATCTTGTTGACTATGAGCTCCCTGATTGGGGTTGTTAACCTGGCCCAAGATTGAGTTTTAGGTCGATGTTGCTATTTACAAACTATTTGGGATTTATAAAAATAAATCATCCAAAGTTTCTCAGAGACTCTGTTTTCTATATAGCAATGAAAAATGAGCCTGCACATAAAAAAAATTAGACACAAGCAGTAAATTCCTAACATTGGTCTAACTTAAACAAATAAAGTCAGCTTAATGTACAAGTGGAATGACAATTACTTTCCTAAAACCTGTTTAAATTTGCAACAAAGTCGCAAGTCACAAACCTTTACCTTTGAATCAGAGATAGTAGGAACTGCAGATGCTGGAGAATCCGAAACAACAAGGTGCAGGGCTGGATGAACACAGCAGGCCAAGCAGCATCATAGGAGCTCTGCGCATGTAAATAAAGGGGACTTGGTGACGGGATACTGGTCTCTGTGCAGCTATTTCAAAGGAATTGCAACATCGGTGGAAATATTTAATCAGAAAAACATTTTGTTTTTGTTTCAGGAGTGCACTTCCTGTTGTGAAGGGATGATCTGCAATATCGATGTGCCAACAAATCACACAAATGCTGTGCTTGTGGTTAAACGGCTCCACAGGTTCCCTTCATCTGCCAGCAATAGGGTGTTGAACATAAGCTGGATCACACTAGCACTGCTAGTTGTTGTTTTGGTATGGTAAACAGCAAGCAACGTCAAGTGAAGTTTTTTTTTAATGCACATCAGCTATTTTGATTGATTCCACCTTTGAGTTTGGAAAAATGAGTCTCATCTTCAAAATAGTCCCAAATATTTGCACCGATGAATAAGAGGTGCATGCTGTCAACTTGTGCACTGACATTACAAAGACTGGATTGTGATTTGTTCTGATGTGAGAAACTGCTGTTGGAATATACCTTAGATCAAACAATCAAATGAGGAAGGTCATGGGACATCTAACACAAGGATAAATACAGATTTCCTTTTGTAAAATTTAAATTTTTTTTTTGTCCTGCCTTATCTTCGTCTCCTGGACGTACTTATCAATTTGCAAGGGGTACCATCATGGACACTATATGCTTTCAGTCGTCCTTGGCAACAGGGTCATAATTCAAGTGCAAACCTTGCTAGTACATATCTGCAAGCTATTCAGTTGTGGACAATCAACAATCCTTCTTATCTGATGTTCACACACTTCCAGCAGAGTTAATATGGAGTAGTAATATGGAGCAGAAATTGTTACCAATGTGTTTTTTCCCCCATTCTTAATTCTTATGTGCTGAGTGCAATTACATCTTCCTCTAAATGTAGCCCAGGAAACCTCAGGAAAACTTAATATTAAACTTGAAATCATCCTATTCTGGTTGAATTTGTTGCTTGCTGGATAAAATCAGAGGAGTAGAATTACTGGTTTTCCATCGTACCTATCTGACATGTTGTACAAATTTCTCAAAACTGATCACAGTACTGTCCGCCAGCCCCAATGTCCATGTCCAACTACTATTTGTGACTTTAGACTAATTCCATGATGATTGTGTGGCAGATGGCGGTTTTGGAAAGTAAACTTGTACACAGGTAAAATTTATTTCACAATCAGGCTGAAAAAAATACAGAAACTATAAGCCATAAAAAGCATTAAACAATAGCATTTGTAACTATTTAACTATATGACTAATTTGTTGGGGTAATATGCAATGGTTGAAGCTAGACTTAAAAATATTTTTAAGCAATATGAGAGCACTGGATCATGATGTCCTGTTCCTTTATGATCAAAAGATTAAATTGTAATCGTGGATAATTTTGCTTTGAAGTTATAGCCTATATCTGATTCCCTCTTTTAAACAAAGAACAAAAGAAATACACAGTTGAAAACGCACAGTAAATTACTTTTGGACTGGAGTGGCAACTATTATTTAGTCAAATGTGGCAGTCGTTTTATCCTAGCACATCACACACGAGCGACTATAACTTGAGAAAAGGTCTAATATAATAAAAGCAAGGCTCTGGATATCCGAAACAAAACAGAAATTACTGGAGAAACTTAGTAGATCTGTGGAGACAGAAACAGAGTTCATGTTTTGAATCCTATGACTTCTTTCAGAACTGAAAAAGAGTCGTTGGACTTGAAACATTAACTCTGTTTTTCTCGACCGGGTCCCATTTCTTCCCTTTTCTTTTAACTGCTACCATGAGATCATTGATATCTGTCAGATCAGATCTCATTTGATGGCATTTTTATGAGTGTATTTCCTCTCTTAGAAGTATCAATCTAAATTATGTTCCGAACTATTGGTGTGGATCATGATCCCACTGACTACTGGCCCAGAAATAAGAGTGTTACTTACTGAACCGAGCTAGTGTACAAATAATAATAATGTATGGTATGACAGAAAAGGCATTGCTAAATCGTGAAGATTTTGTCTTTGTGTCATGAAGGCAGGAATAATGCTGAATATGATTCTTGTGACACAGGCAGCAATTCTGATGAAAGGTCATCCATCTCAAACATTACTTGTATTTCTCTCTCCTACTGCTGTCTGACCTGCTGAATATTTCTAGCATGATTTGTTTTTGTTTCAGATTTGTGGTAAAGGCAGCAATCAGTTGTAACTAATAACAGCTGTATGGATGAGCAACATATTGGGAACAATAGCTCTTTCTTGGACTTACAATGTTTATCATCTATGGATTCCCAATTGCTACATGTGAAGAGGGGTCTATTAAAAAAAATGTATTATTTTCCTATGCATTGGGTTGGAAGGCTTTGTAGACCTCCTAGTGTCATGTTCTAAATGTGCATTTTCCTTGTGCTATTAAGCATTTTTACATTACCTCTGGCCACACTGCACACGAGATGCACAGCTTCTGGAATGTCATAGATGCAGACTTCTGAACGGGCCTTCCTAAAATTGATTGGAGAGTCTCATGGCTATTTTACAGATTCTTATTTCACACTGATTGCGGAAATACAATAAAATCACTCTATATCATTTTGTAAAACATCAACAGGAAGGGAAGTAATGATGGCTTATAACTTTAATCCTTGTCCATCTCTTGTTGCCCCTCCCTGTTCTCACTGATTTCAGTTTTCTCCCATGCACTGCCATGACCCATCATTACCTACCCCTGGTCAAACCATACATGTGAAACTACAAAACTTAGAATGGTGATGAACAGCTTCCAAAAACAGGTAACAATTCAAACTACAATGTACAAATGAAAAACAAGACGACTACTTCAAGGCAATAATTAAAAAAAACAATCGATTTTAAGACCTTCATCAGTTCTGAGGAAGGGTCACCAGATTCGAAACGTTAACTCTGTTTTTTCCTTCAAAGATGCTGCCAGACCTGCTGAGCTTTTCCAGCAACTTTGTTTTTGTTAAGATCTTCATTGGTATTTTTGGGTTATATCCACAGTTCAGTTTGTTTCTCAATGAAAAGTGAAACCCAATATAGCCTTATAAACATCATAAGGTATGTATAAACATTACACATGAAAAAGGGTAATTTTGTTTGGATGACCTGCCTGGTTCATGTAAGAACAGAATGTGTACTTTTCCAGCCTGCATATATTCTGCTAGGCGTGAAGGTACTCTGCTCTTCACAACATTTACAATGCCATGAAGCCAACCTGCATTGGTCTGAAATAAAATAAGCACATGCTGGAGAAACTTAGCAGGTCTGGAAACATCTGTGGAGACAGAAACCGAGTTAACATTTCGAGTCTATCATGACTTCTGGCATTAGAAAGATGGCAGTGAAAAATAACCAGAACTGTGCCAGGACTTCAATATGTAAGAATTCACATTTGATCCGCCATGATTAGCCCGAGTCTGTAGAGTATCATGGAAGCGCAAAACATTAACTCTGTTTCTCTTTCCACAGAACTGCCACATTTGCTGAATTTCTCCAGTACTTTGCATTTTTAATTTAAGATTTCCAGCATCCACTGTATTTTGCTTTTATTATTGCGCTGCTGTTATGCTGTCCTTGAATATCATGTCGAATTGCAGTGGACTGCTGACTTTCACTGTACAACAGCAGTCTGTTCCATCTGTGAGGCAGAAATCTCACCAGAGGCCTGTCCTACACAGTTAATATGACCTAATGCAAGAGCCCTCACTTGAAGCACTCTCACACTTTGCATAAAACTGCCATTGGATTTGTGGCTTTAAATGGCACACACATGCACTTACAAGATTGACAGTAGAATTCCAATGTTGTATGGAATCACGAAACGCCTTACTCACTATGAGCAGCACAGATGGAAATATTTTGTTTGCAGGTGTGTGTATATCCATTTTATCCACCTGTTAGTTTGCAAATTCATGTGTTAAACTTCAAAAAACAGAACAATCATTTGCAATATACAGAAAATCCTCCAGAACGACAGACGTTTATTCCATCTCCTATTCCAATATTAGCTAATTTTAACAGAACTTAGCCACCTGTCCTTGTTCTGAACAGCACCTGAGGTTTTGCAAGGAGCTTTCAATCTACCATTTTCTCTCACTAAGGAAAATCCTAAACTTTAATTGCCCTCATCCTTAGTTTGTTTAAATTAGGGTCTCCTTATTAGGAGACAGCACGGCATTTTCAGCACAATATGTAGCCAAATGCTCTTGTCTTCAATTGGGATTGCATTATCAAACTTCCCAGGAGCAAAACCATAGGAAATCTGCTAATGTCTATATAAAAAAGAACTAATGGGGGGCATTTTTTTCATAAAATACAAACAAATTCAAGTTTTACTTATACTGCTGTATGACCAATTAAATTTCCAAGAGTTTTCTGGTCTAATTAATTTTTCAGGGCAATCAGAATCATCCTGACTTGTCTAAAATTATAAAAGACCTAGCAGTTAACTGTCAATCAGCATTAATGGGTGCATTCTCTATAGAAAGCCTTTACTAGTCAGGGTCCACTTACCAACCAATCAGCACACTACTCTCATGCAGGATAAATGTGGCCTTTCCCCTTGAATTGATATTCTTGCAAAATGTCCTGATAAGTGCATGATGAAAAGCTTCGATAAAGTGCGAGATAACAAGGTGTAGAGCTGGATGAACGCAGCAGGCCAAGCAGTATCAGAGGAGCAGGAAAGCTGACGTTTCAGGTAAGGACCCAATAAAGTGTGTCTCTTTCCAGCAATACTCAAGTTTTATACTACAAAATGAATATTTGGATCCTAGTGTAAGAAGATAGAAAAAATGCTACATTAAATTTAAAGGGCTGGAATAATTAAAGGGAAGCGTCATTTGGCAAACACCAATTATTTTGGTGAACGCTAAAATCTGTCAGTAATTTTCATTATGAATGATATGGCTTGCCACCTTAAAGAGAAAATCAATTGTAGATGCAGCAATGACAGCACAGAAAAGTAATTGTGCAACACAATGCTTTGCATCCTCTTTGACTACAGAATTTGAGGTAGTACCCAATGATAATTACAAAAGGATATGCACTCTACAGCAACATCACAGCCAAGTGTCAAACCATAGGTAGTCATTATTCTCCATTATATATGGTAAATGAGGTTATCTTAACATCTGGTGATACTAATTGGAACCTTGCTCTGCTGATCCAGACTATCAGGTAATTTAACTTCACCTTTTATCCTCTGTGGAATACCTTCAGGACAATATATGAGATTAATATTGTAACATGTTTTTATCACACCTTTGCTAACTTCTCCCATGCTCCTACTAAAACAATATGCACTTAATTTTAATGTAATCAAGTGGTGATACCTCCAACTCTAATCAATCAATCCCCTCTAAACCACGTAATATTCCTGACGTGGAATTATCACTGTTCCTTCACTGTCACTGTGTCAAAAGGCTGGAATTCCCTTTCTAACTCCTCTGTGTGAAAATCTGCACTTCAGAGACTGCAGCAGTTCAACAAGGCAGTGAACAACCCCCTTCTGCAGGACAAAAATGCATGGACAGTAAATACTGACCTAGCCAGTAACACCCATGTCCTACAAATAAAAAAAATTTTATTTCACATGCATGACGTTTGACTTTTTGCACTGTAAAATTGCAACCTCTTCCATTCATGCTGCTAACCGAACAAAGTGTGAATGGTGATATGCATTGTGACTGTGGGGAACATTAAATCAAAAAGTTAGATGACAGTATGTAATGTATAATGAGATATATCTGCCTTAAAAACCGTGCAGGTAACCTTGCAATATGTGAAATACCTTGAAATCTACAAGTATTCTTTTCAAAAGTGCTGCTGAGGCAAATGGCAAAAAGATTTTCTGTGTAAAAGTTTGAAGCATAATTCAAACATACTGACTTGCCCAGATACCTGCTGCTCCAGAGGCACAGTCATGCCCTCCTGAATATCTAACTTCAAAAGCATTGCAATTGACACTTAAACATGTTTTGCCAACAGTTTACTAAGACCATTTGATGTGAGCAGCAGAGTATTCAATTTTAACAAAGAATCTGGAATATGAAGATTCAGACTGTATGCTATTGCTTAAATCAAATGTCCTTTCCTTCCAAAAATGTAGGTGTCTTAAAATTCATACATACACTATAAACAGTACTAATCATTTTGACACAGAGACATATGGAGCAATGTAATGAGTAGCCTCAAGATTTTATATTTTAGAAACCAAAGTGCAGATAATCATAGAGTCATACTCTTCTGTCCAACTTGTCCACGCCATGTTCCCAAACTAAACTGGTCCCACTTGCCTGCGTTTGGCCCATATTCAATAAAACCTCTGGAATTACGAGTCTATTGATGACCATGAATCCACTGTTGATTGTTGGAAAAA